AACATGTCATTTCACTCTTACTCCCAACAAAAATTGGTAACCTTTTCCAACCAGAGACATTATCAGAGAAACAAGTGATAGAAGTGGATAATGAATTAAAAAAACACAATTCTTTGTTTCACAGACCTAAAACAAGAAACAAATCAAATTAGAAGCTCACCCAGGAGTTGTAAATGTTTCTATAAATGCATATAACTGGTGTGACTTACATCTTTGTTGTTTTTTGTTTTCAGGGATCGTGCTTGCTGATATCATTGAAAAGTACTTTGTGTCACCCACACTGTTCAGAGTGATCCGACTGGCTCGCATTGGACGAATTCTGCGCCTCATCAGAGGTGCTAAAGGCATCCGGACGTTACTGTTTGCCCTCATGATGTCCCTTCCTGCTCTCTTTAACATTGGACTTCTCCTGTTCCTTGTCATGTTCATCTACGCCATCTTTGGTATGGCCAACTTTGCCTACGTGAAACGGCAGGCGGGGATCGATGACATGTTTAACTTTGAGACGTTTGGGAACAGCATGATCTGCTTGTTTCAGATCACCACCTCTGCAGGATGGGACAGCCTTCTCAGTCCCATTCTCAACAACTCCCCTGAGGAGTGCGATGCCAACATCCCCCACACTGGCACCACCGTCAAGGGGAACTGTGGGAACCCATCAGTGGGCATCACCTTCTTTGTCACCTACATTATCATCTCCTTTCTGATTGTGGTAAACATGTATATCGCCATCATCCTGGAGAACTTCAGTGTTGCCACTGAGGAAAGCACTGAACCCCTCAGCGAAGACGACTTCGAGATGTTCTACGAGGTCTGGGAGAAGTTCGACCCGGAGGCCACGCAGTTTATCGAGTACTCCAAGCTGTCCGACTTTGCTGACTCGCTGCTAGAGCCGCTGCGCATCAACAAGCCTAACAAGATCAAACTGATCTCCATGGACCTGCCCATGGTGAGTGGAGACAAAATCCACTGCCTGGACATCCTGTTTGCCTTTACCAAGCGTGTCCTGGGCGAGTCAGGAGAGATGGATGCCCTCAAGCAGCAGATGGAGGAGAAGTTCATGATGGCGAACCCGTCCAAGATCTCTTACGAACCCATCACTACAACTTTGAGGCGCAAGCAGGAAGAAGTCTCCGCCACCATCATCCAGAGGTGTTACCGGAGACACCTTGTGAGGCGACAGCTGAAGGCCGCCTCCTACATGTACCGCCAGATCACCACACCTCGGCATGCAAGAGGTGAAGGTGAAGAAGGAGGTGAAGTAGTGTTTGGGGAGGATGCGCCTGAGAAAGAAGGGCTGATTGCCACCATGATGAGGGAAAACTACGGCTCAAGCATGTTAGGGATCGAGCACTCAGAGACGATTTCCTCCACCTCGTCTCCACCTTCATATGACAGCGTGACACGGGCCACATCCGAGATCTTTCAACCGCTCGCTGTCAAGACAGAAACTGCTGCCGACACTGCGGGCAGCGAACAAAGTGAACAATCGCAGTCAGAAATCACCCACGACAGACAGCAGGAAACGACGCCATAGCAGGAACAGAAAAGCAAAAAAATAATTAACAAATGAGGATTTTCTCATTTGAGGTTGGCCTGTTTATTCTTTTGTTTACTGAATGTACCATAGCTGAGAACGCTGAAGCGGCAGCAGGAAGAAGCTATGAAGAACTACGAGGAGCCTGCAACATGGAAGAATTACTACCTTTAATGTCATTTCCTGTTCCCTGGAGAAAGTGTTTTGGGAGTTTCCTGAAGGGAAGCAAAGCAACTGCAAAACAGAGAGGGTAACCCTGTCTGTCAGGTCAACTCTGCCTTTGTTGGAGTAATAGACAGTAAAGGAAAACCTACTCTTGGGTCAACCAGAACCAGGAGTTTAGAACAATGACCTTTCACCAAAGCTACAGGTGGTCAGAGGGGGCAGAGCAACTATATCACAAATGTATCCATCATTTTTTGGCCTGGGGAGTTTGTGCCTTCCCACAGTTGATCAATATTCTCAGAGTATGTTTGGTTGTAAGAGTGACGGCGGTGTTTCTCAACACGTTAAGGGTCGACGGCGTTCTGACTGACGCTCGAGAGAGGAGGGAAAATAATGACAACGTGATTTCAAAACAATGTTTTCGTAGTAAAAGTACGTTGTTGATGTTACCAGTCTTTTAATAGCGGTACAATTATTACTATTTTTTATATTTTTTAGAGTAAGTTGAAGAAAACCAGTTAGCAGTCTCTCTTTTGACTTCGGAGTGGCACTAGCTATGAAAAAGTGGCTGAACTACCATGTTGTAATAGATGAGAGGAGAAGGCGCGGTCAGGAAAAAAAAAATCTCAAAAACCTGAATCTTCATCTGTTTTTGTTGGCTGTTTTGCACTTTTTGAGTTTACACCTGCTCTCGCTTTGCCGCACCTGGGCGAAGGGCGTGGAGAAGAGCCTGGGATTTCATTATTTTTCTTCTCAAAACTTTTTGCGATAACACCAAAAAAATGTGCACAATGAGATTTTCTACACGGTCCCAAACTCTTCTAACACGCATCTTTGCCCACGGGTGGACGGCCTCATACTCGGCAGTTTGTTGGCTTGTGGGTGATTTGTCTAAAAGTCATGTTAGATATTCCGGCTTCACTTCCCTATAACATGAAGCAGAAGAGTCCTATTTCTGCACTGTCACCACACTGAGTGGGGAGAAAAATGAAGCTTACTGGCTTTCATTGATTGAGGATGCATGATTTAGGAATAAGTTTTATGTAATGCTGCCTGGGTGGAAGGAAAATAAGAGGCTTGTCAACTGTAGTGTTATTCTCCTATGCCAAAAATAGTCAAGACTGCAGGTGAATTTACTTTTTTTTTTATATATTATTCAGTTTAGTAAAAGCATCAGACTGCTGGTTTAACACCAGCCTAGCACAAATTCAAAATAGGTTTATAGCATGCAGCGAACCACCAGTCTTTGCTTTTTAACAACTGAACAAAGACATGTAATAATAATAATGATGATGGTAATAATAATAATAGTCGTAGATTTTATATAGCTTTTTCCTAACAATGTTACAAAGCGCTTCATAGAAAGAATCAAAAAGCAAAATAAAAACATCAGAACAAAAATGACCACAGGTCAGAAGTAAAAGATCAATGCAAAAGGAAGCAACACAGCAATAACAAGCGCAGAACACTGATGTTCATGCAGGACACCTGTTAGCCTATTTTAATGCCATGAATGCCTCCTTTCATTTTTTTTTTCTTTTCCTGGGAGCATTTGATGTCTCTGTACAAACTGAACATTGTCAACTTTTATGACAAATCACCCGCTGTCGTTCAGCATCTGTCTGGTCTGAGTTCGGCTCGGCACAAACCGGCTTTAAGGTCCTGGTGGTGTCAGCCAGCTCTGACTACAGAGCGACAATCAGCTCAGCACATCTGCATCAGGATTTCTCCACATTTGGTTTTATGAAAAGCTAAAAAGGTCACTCTCGTGTTTGACCATCACCAGTGTCCTGGAACAACCTTATCTTGAAAACTCAACAGCAATATGACAATGTTGAAGAAACCAGAGACTGCACAAAAGGCAATGAAACTCTGTTACTTTGCCAAAAGTTTAGTATTTTGTTCCTGACTATAAGTATGAATACTCTTGGTATCACACGCCTCCCTGCGAAGATACATTTCATGTAAATGAGGCTCAGTAATTCACGCACATTTTGCTTCCCATTAACCAAATTTTATCGGAATTTGGTTGCAATTCAGTGAGAGAACCAGAAGGGGGCGCTGGCAAGACTGTCTTTAGTGAAAAAGGGTGAATGGAGCTAAACAGCTAAGTTAATGACTTCCACCTGCTTCCATTCAAAAACATCTATATTACTTTTCATAAATCCAGCATCAACAGCGTGTCTGAAATTAATCAAAACAACACTTATGTTCGGTTTTTCTCACAGTTAAGCCGGTTTAATTAAACACTAGCATGCTGCTAATGGGTGCTGATTAGTTGGTTAAGCAATTGGGATGGAACGTCCTCCCGCCATGGCAGCAGAAACCCCGTCAGAAGTTCCTGTGTCGTGAAGTTGTGAATCTCTAATAATCACAGAAAGAGATTCTACTACAATAGAAACCTGTAAAAAAAGAAAAATCAAACTCCACTCATTGTCTTGTACGGAGCCCCGCAGGGGACATGGGAGAAAAAAAAATTAAGACGGACTTTTGTGAGATCTCGCAAAAACTTTTGCGAGATCTCGCAAAAGTTTTAGCCGCATTCTTCGGAGGCCGCCAGCTCAAAGGAAAGCAGTGTTCCTCCCGGCTGTAGTAGGTCTCGACCTCCCGTTAGCTTCGAGCTAGTGGGTGTCGGATCTCCGAAAACGTCGGAGCACTTTTGCAAATATGTGATGTCTTGTAAACCGAGCAGGTATCTGACGTTTACACAACTACATTCACGCCTCAAAATATCTTAAAAGTGTATTTTGTGACCCAGAAAGATTAATATTACAATTAAGTAGCTGCCGCAAAAGTTTTGCGAGATCTCGCAAAACTTTTGCGAGATCCCCAGTTTGTTTTGCGATCTCGCAAAAGTCCGTCTTAATTTCATTTTCTCCCATGTCCCCTGCGGGGCTCCGTAGTCTTGAGCCCTTCTACCGAAAAAAATATGCAAACTCCGGGAAGAACATTTTTTCCTCGAAGATTTTTAATTTTTGTTCTACTGCCCAGTTCACTCTGGATGAGCTCAACACCGCCCCCTATGGAGCTAGAAGACCACAGAGCTCTCTGTGGTGCTGGAAGTTCAGCTGCCAAAATCTATGAACTATTTACAGCTTCAGATTAATCCATGAACCACAAATAACATCTTTCATTTTTTATCCCAGTTGTTCAATGATTATACATTTCGGGTTTATCCAGGACACTGAAAGCTTTTCTGCTTCATTTTTTCTCCAAATGAAGCATTTAATTTCAGTGTGAGGAGATAAATTGGTGAATTCTGACTCCTACGTGGAGAATTTATAGCTTTCGTTTTTACTGCAAATATCAAACAATTCAAAATGAAACTTCTGTGGTGAAATAGGTGTGCCCGTTTTTCTAGGTGCAGATTTTATATTCAGCACATTGAAGACTTTGCTGATGTCATTTTTTTCCCCAATGATTGAAAAATCAACTCTTCAAAATCAAAACACCGCTTCATTTATTTATTTATTTATTTATTCATCGACTTTTTTGGGAAGATTTTCAGGTCAATTCCTTTATTTTTATTTTATTTATCTTTTTTATGATAATTATTTTTTCATTTTGGCTGGAGGAGGCGAGGAGGTCGAGCGAGACGGCTCTTTATCTATTTTGCACAGAGAAACAAAAAAAAACAAAACAAACACAAACCGCGTCGAGCAATAACGGTTTGCAGATACCTTTTAACTGAATTCTCGAGTAACGCTTGACTTTACAGATGCTTTTTCTCGCTGTATGTGTCTGTGGATTAAAGGGGAAAATCCCACACTAACACTTTGAGCATTTGGTGGAATTTGATTAGCCGGATGCAGCACTGATGGCGTTACTGTGGACTTACAGACACACGGGTCCATACAGCGGCACGAAGCCGACGTGAAGCAGCGTTACCGCTTGTTTTTATTAAGACGAAGTGTCAAAGTGTGCGTGTACAGCATTTGTTCAGTCTGCTTCAATATTTCAAACAACCTCTCTCTCTCTGTCTCTGTCGTTGTGGTCACCCGAGGGATCTTTACTAAACGCTTTCCTAGACTAATTTTAAAAAGGAAAAAAAAGTAGAAAAAACTTTTACTGGCACCGTCTGGACTCTATTTCTACTAGATTCTATTGAGAATAGATAACGATATAAACTAGGTAAATACTAATACACTGCTGAACTGTGCTGCGAGGCGTATTTAATAATAATAATAATATTTCAGGTTGCAGTTGTGCTGAAGGGCTGTTTTCAGTAGCAATAGACCCAGAGTGTGCCTGCTACACATGAACCCCATCACTCCAAGCCATGCTTTACCATTGGTTGATTGATAATATGCTCGACTGATTGATGAGCCAGTTGATTTTTCTGATTTCTTGACTGGTTTCATGTTTGGTTGGTTGATGAATTGACTCTTATGGTTTTTGATCGTTAACACAGTCTCCACAGTCCCCTCCATCACTGCTGTGACTCTTCCTCATAACCTATCGAACAAACAGCACAGAGAGCTAACAGGCTGACGTCACTTTTAACTGTCAAAAAGGTCCAGATTCACTAACGTCTGCAGGGAAAAGGCAGGGAGCACATGCTGGCATGTAATTCCATACTGAGATGTTAAAATGGAGACAGCTGAATAAGAAAACATTCAGCTGTTTAATTCCCATAAACTGCATATAAAAGATGAACATAGCTACCATGAAATCCCTTACTGGCTTTCAAGCAGGAAGGCTTGTCCATCTTAGGTTTTTTGAAATGTCTTGAGGCAG